GGGGGGGGGGGGGGGACGCATCTGGAGCGGGAGACGGTGAACGCCTCTATCGCGAGAGCAGGACCGGGGGCGAGCACCTCCAGCCGCCTCATGCTGGCCTGCTCGGTTGTGATTAACTAAGGTTTAATCAGCTTTACAAGCTAAACTTCCTTTGTCGACATGCACGCGCATGATAATCCGCCGGACTATCTCGCCGGGCCGGCCGGCGACGAAAACACCTCCGATGCGTCGGAGGATCCTACTAATATGAATACGACATCGTGCGCGTCAACGGGAGACGCGCGTTGTTCCGGTCGCCGGCTTCGAGGACGAATCCCATCGCCGTCGTCACTCTCGAGCCACCCGTCGACCACTCGGCCGAGCTTCATACGGTCCTAATACCGAAATTCGCGGAATGTTGGATGCAGAGTTAAATTCGGATCGATAACGACTACGCCGGTTACTCTTGTAAACGTTAGGGAGCGAGAACGAGAGAGAGAGAGAGAGAGAGACATCGTCTCTATTCATTTTTACTTGTACGTTATATAAAATTGCTATTTTTATTTATGCAACCTCTATTCTTTTATTCGATCACAATTGCCTAGTTTACATCATGCGCTTGATACGAGTATTACCTGTGTGATGACTTTCTATTTTATTATCTATTTTATTACATTACTTTTTATTATATTCTACTTTATTATCTTGGAATCATTTTAATTTCTATGATAGTGTATATGTAAACATATGGTATTTAATTAATCATTTTGATGCATATTGTACTAATTTTTATCATTCTTAATACATTGAAAATTTAATAAAAAGCTACTAGTCAGCCAGTACATGTATCAACTGCTAGGTGTAAAAGGAGCCAATGACAGCATAGCTTTGTCAAGTAGATATCAAATTTAGTCGTTAAAATTTGGCATTGATTTTCACAAATATCCAAAAATACAAAACTACATTATCCATTCGATGATATATTCACTTGTCGACAAGCATTAACTGTATATCAACAGAACAATTGTCATAAATGATAACAATTTATCGTTTTGAGAATAAGAGCTTTATCTCGCGGAAACGTTACGAGTAACAAACGATAACCGCGCGATACCTTCTGTCGACATTGATCTGGCGATGTGAAGGCCAAGAACCTCTTGCCTCACATCGCTTCCTGATTCATCCCATCGCGACATCGTCGCTCAATATTCGTCCAGGCGAGATGTAGTCAACGATGAAATTATTTACATTCCCTGTAACATCTGCTACCTTGATCATGCAAGAGAAACATTTTATAAGATAATTTTTCAAAGAAAATCTTTCAACGATCGAAGCAGTAAAATAAAAGTATTACATGCTTCATAAATTAATATCCACCGTAGCGTTTGAAGCAGTTTTTTGTATCTGTGAAAAAGACAAGGGTCAAATTTGATGATCTACAATCATAAATTTATAGTTTCTTCGCTTTAAGAAAAGATTGTTCTATTACGTAATTTATAACAAATCGCATTTGTTTAAAATAATATATATTTATCGAAACTTTTCTAAAATCGAAAATTATTTACACGATTACCGTCTATTGTCAAGTTTTTTTTTTTTTATAAAAAAGGTTCAAGTGTAACCGACTTAAAATGTAATTAAATAGATTGTATCGAGAAGGTCGAAGTATTTACATTGTTTTTTTTTTTTTTCAAGTATATCGTCAGACAAAAAGTTATGTGCGTACACATATCCATCCAGTGTCGGCTCTCATATTGAGACATATGTGCCCGACAAAATTATTTAATTTAATTTATTTAATATCGTATTTTATTTAAAATTAAGTAGGTCATTCTCTTCCTTTACCTCCCGATATGAATCAAATTTCGTTACTGCTGGTAACCGTCGATCATAGTCTCAAGGTACGCCAGAGAATGCATTCAGACAACTGGCTACCGTGCACGTTGCTGGAGGAGCAGCTAATCCGATAGTCGGGATCGAAGCGAGGAAGAAGAAGCGAAAGAAAGTGGAAGTCCTCTCGAAGGAGAGAGAGAGAGAGAGAGAGAGAGAGAGAGGGGAAAAGAGGCAGAGGTTAACTCTCGCACTGGGTTATTAAGGGTTCGCGTAATAACGTGTTTGCGAGAGCGCGCGGTTGCACGCACCGCTCACGAGGTGGAACATGGCATGGCCCCCGGGTGCTCTCTCGGATCCAGCATCTTCCAGAGCCTGTACGAAAGCGTCGGCGTGGCCGCCCCCGACTCATGGGAACGTCCTCGGGGCAGCGTAGGGTCGACGGGATCGCGCATACACCCGTAGAACCGCCGTCGGAATTTTTCTTAGGAACTTATTAAAATCTAAAGCTGCCTCACATTAGAATTGCGTCGGAGTCGATCCGGACGATTGCGAGTCGTTTACAGTCTCCCAGATAGTTTCGGCGAAATCATTATATAAACAGATTGCAATAACAACCACGAAATGTAATGATAGGAATTACGGAAAGAATATAACCGCCATGAAAATTGGCGATTCTTTACGATGAGCGTTCTTTACATGAAAACTTCACGGATGACATCTCGAACGAATTTTATGTGCGCGTGTACATCTTTCAAGAATTATCACTCCAATTTAATTCACTCTGTTCATGATTTAACTGTACTTATTGTAAAGGATAGATAATAAAGCTCTTGCATTTATATAAAAAATGTTACTGACGAAGTCTTA